CCGCATAAAGCTGCCAGCAGGTAGGGCAGGGGCAGAGGCGGGGGCTGAGGATCGAGAGGTAGCACGGGGTTTCCATAGTGACTGGGTTACTGCATTTGGGGGCCAGGTTTGGACCAAGGCTTCTCCCCAGTCTGCCTGGGGATGGCCCAGGACCCTGCTGAGTCCCAGAGATGCAGGACTGTCTCGAGTAGCTCCAGGGAACTCAGGGGTGAGGCCAGGCTTCGGTAGTGCTTGGTGACTTAGGTGACAGATAAGTGTGTGCATGTTACAGGGCGGCATCGACACCCGGGTTCGGGGTGTGGAGGTCCTGGGCCCCAAGCCCACTTTCTGGCCACTGTTCCGAGAGCAGCTGTGTCGCCGTACATGTCTCTTCTACACAATCCGGGCGCAAGCCTGGAGCCGGGACATAGCAGAGGACCGCAGGCGCCTCCTCCAGCTCTGTCCCAGGTGGGTGAGGCCGGAGGAGGTGGGTCAGGGAGCAGGACACTAAAGGGGAGATGCTGTGGAGTCTGAAAGGTAAAGCAGTGGCCAGGACACAAGGGCAGTGAGCACAGGTGAGAAGTACGTGCCAGGGAAGAGCTGGGGGCAGACTGAGCACGGGGTGGTTAGGAGTTGACTGCACTCGAGTGGAGCCACAAGGAAATGTGTGCCTTTAATCCTGGAACACACTGTTTATCCCCAGACTGAACAAGGTTTTGCGCCATGAACAGAATTTTGCTGATCGCTTCCTCCCTGATGATGAGGCCGCCCGAGCGCTGGGCAAGACCTGCTGGGAGGCCCTGGTCAGCCCCCTGGTGCAGAACATCACCTGCCCCGGTAACCATCCCGACCTTGGCCCACTAACCAGCTCCTTGTCACCATTCCCAGGCACCGCCTGGGTTAATGCTCTTGGTTCTCTTGGTCCCTGTCTTTATCCCCGAAGGCCTGTCACCTCAGTGTTCCTTTCCTTCCTCCACAGACTGCTCCCTGAGACTCTGGTATTTGAATCTTCCCTCCACCCCATCCCCAGTCTGTTACCATATCCCCAGACTCCAGCTGAAGCAGACCGTGGTGGGAGGAGGGTCGAGAGCTGTGCTGGCCCCCAAACCTTTTTGTACAATTGCTCCTTCTCCTCCCGGGCTGTCTGTTGCCCCATTTCCCATGGGACCTGTTCCTGACCCATCTTCTTTTAGACGCGGAAGGTGTGAGCTCCCTGGGATGGCTGCTGGGTCAGTACTTAGAGCAGAAGGAGAGCTCTCGGAACCCCCTGAGTCGAGCAGCATCCTTTGCCTCTCGAGTTCGTCGCCTTTGCCACTTGCTGGTGCATGTGGAGCCTCCTCCGGGGCCTTCTGAGCCATCCACGCAGCCCTGTAAGTCCCCGCAGGCGCGGCCGAGCTGAGAACCTGGCTCCTCCCCTCGCGGGTGTTACTCTTCCTCACTGCTTGGCTGTGGGCATTTCCAGGGGTCAGTACCCAAGACCCCGAGACTCAGCGGAGGCTGAGATGAAACTCCTTCCTTTGCCCGGTGTCTCTACAGCCAGCAGGAACAGTAAGGGTCAGGACCGGAGCCCGGGGCCTTCACCTGTCCTCCCGAGCAGCAGCCTGAGGAGCATGACGCAGTGCTGGCTGAGCGTGGTGCAGGAGCAGGTGGGCAGCAGCAAGCTGAGCTCTGCGGCGGGGGGCCTGCGAGGCTGGCCGCACACTGGGACTCCCCTTTTACATTTCTTGCTCTTTCTCCTCAGGTCAGCAGGTTCCTGGCTGCGGCCTGGAGGGCCCCAGACTTCGTGCCTCGTTACTGTGCGCTCTACGAGCACTTGCAGAGAGCAGGCTCAGAGCTCTTTGGGCCTCGGGCAGCCTTCACGCTGGCCCTGCACAGTGGCTTCTCAGGCGCCTTGCTGCAGCAGTCCTTCCTCACGGCTACTCATGTGAGTACCATCAGCCTCCCAGTTGGCGGGGCGTAAGCTCATGCAAGGCTCACCCCTCTCTGCCCTCTCACCTTCTTTCACTCCCCACTCTCCTCCACTCCCTCTTCCTGGTTCACCAGTGCCCTTTCCATTCCCCAGATGAGTGAGCAGTTTGCCAGACACATCGACCAGCAGATCCAGGGCTGCCTGGTTGGCAGAACCCCTGGAGCAGACATGCTGGGGCAACTTCAGCGGCACCTGGAACCCATCATGGTCCTTTCTGGCCTGGAGCTGGCCACCACTTTTGAGCACTTTTACCAGTGAGTGAAGGTCGACAGAGCAGGGGATGGGAGGCCTAGAGTGTAGAGAGGACAAAGATGGAGTCTTAGAGGGAAGATGAAGGAAGGCAGTGGGGAGAAGAGACTAAGATCCAGAGATGGCCATGGCCTTGGTGGGAAGGAGGAGGTGAGGTAGGGCCGTGACCCAGGTTGGCTGCAACAGAGGGACCTATGTGCCGAGTGCCCACACTGAGGCCGGGCCTGGGCTGTGTGTGCTGCAGGCACTACATGGCGGACCGTCTCCTGAGCCTGGGCTCCAGCTGGCTGGAGGGGGCCGTGCTGGAGCAGATCGGTTCCTGCTTCCCCCACCGCCTCCCCCAGCAGATGCTGCAGACCCTGAGCGCCTCCGAGCGGCTGCAGTGCCAGTTCCACCTCTTCCAGCTCCAGCGGCTGGACAGGCTGCTCTTGGAGCAGGAGGATGAGGAGGAGCAGGGCCTGGAAGCAGAGGTAAGAGCAAGGGAGGAGAGCGGGAGAACAGGAGAGGAAAGAAGGGAGCCCAAGAGCCCTTGAAATTCTTCTCTCTCTCAGGAGGAAGAGGAAGAAGAGGATCCTTGAGTTGGACTTGCCCGCCTGGACCTCCAATATTGCAAAATTATCTCGTGTCTTTTTCTCTCATTTGCTGTGCGGCTCCTCTTTCAGATACCGAACCCTACTCCACGCGGGTCGTGGAAGGAAACACTCAACAAAGAGGAGTCTGGGAAAGAAGTATTTCTCGAGGACCCACGTCCAGCAATTTCTATACTGGTCCTGTCACCACGCTGCTGGCCCGTCTCCCCACTCTGCCACCTGTACCATCCCAGAAAGTGCCTTCCCACAGCATTCTGTGATGCCCTTGACCGCTTCTCCAGTTTCTACAGCCAGAGTGAGGAGATGGGACAGGCAGTTGGATATTGGTGTGAGGTTTGGGGTGGGAGAGGAAGAGGAGGTGACCTTTGGACAGGAATGCATAGATAGGAAGAAACATTCTCTAGCAACAGCAGTCTCCTAGGGAAGGGTGAGGAAGTGTGGTTAGATTTTCATTAATTTCTCATTTCCTTCAACTTTATATGAATTGGTTCTATTTTCCTTTTTCTAACTTCAAGTTGCATGCTAGTCTTTTCAGACTTCTTTTTAAATATAAGTATTTAAGGCTATTAATCCCCCTCTCAATATTACTTTAGCTGCATTCTGTAAGATCTATACTTTTTTGTTGTTGTTAATCCTCACCCCAGGATACTTTTTCTGTTGATTTTTAGAGGTAGTATAAGGGAACGGGAAAGCGAGAGAGAGAGAGATATCAATGTGAGAGAGACAATTTGATTGGTTGCCTCCCACATATGTCCTGACTGGGGCTGGGGACCAAGTCTGCAACCAAGGTATGTCTCTTGACCAGAATCCACCCCTCAACCATTCAGTCCGGGGGCCAGTGCTCTAACCACAGAGCCAAACCAGCTAGGGTGGATTTGTTTATTTTATATGAACTATTTTTTATTAAGGTATAATTAGTAGTCAGTAAAGCGCACACATCTTAATTGTGACTTAATGAATTTTGTATCCATATGCATTTCCTTAACCACCCCCAGCTGAAGATGCAGAATACTCCCAGCACCCGGCAAGCTCCCTCCTTCATCTCCTTCATGTCTCCTTTCTAGTCAGTATCTTCTTCCAAAGGAAACTGTTGTTCTTCCCTTTGTCACCATAGATTTTTGCCTGTATATGAACATCATATAATTGGAATCAGAGAGTATATATTCTGCTGTATCTAATTTCCTTCTCTCAACTTAATGTCTGTGGGAGTGATCCAGGTTGTCAGTTGTGTCATTACTGTGTTCTTTTGTATTGCTGAGTCATAAGCCATTGTAGGAATATATTTACCCTTCCTGCTGCTGATGGACATTTGGGATGTTGAATCAAGTTTTTATTATGTAATATTTTTATTGTTTAGTTCAGAGAATTTTCTAATTTTTATTTATTTATTTATTTTAATTTGTTTCTGGCATCCATGACCGGAATCGAACCTGGGACCCTTGGGTCCACAGGCCAACACTCTATCCACTGAGCCAAACCAGTCAGGGCTATTTTTTCTTTGACTTAATGTTTTCTAGAAGTAGATTTTAAAATTTCCAAGCAGATTTTTCTTTGTTTTGTTTGTTTAGTGTTCTTTTTTTTTTTTTTTTTTTGGTGTACTGGACGATGCTCCAACCAACTGAGCCACCTGGCCGGGGCTGTTTAGTATTCTTTTTGCTTTAGAGTTCAACCTTCATTCCATTGTGGCCAAAGAACATGGTTTCTGTGATACTGAATCTTTGCCATTTATGGAGACTTCCTTTGTGGCCAGGTAGATGGTCAAATTTTATAAGTTTCCCATGTGTGATTAAGAACAATGTGTGTTTTTCTGTTGCTGGATACAAGATTATACATATTTCACTAAATTGACCTTGTTCATAGTATTGTTCACACTTTCTGTAACCTTATTTTTATTTGCTTGATCTATTACTGAGAGAGGTGTGCTCTAATCTACCATTATGATAGTGAATTTCTAAATTAAGTATGTAAATTTCCCTTTATATATTTTGACTGTTATTATATACAACTTTAAAATTATTTAACAGTGCTGCTAATAGAACTTTCTGCAAGGATAGAAACGTTCTGCACTGTTCAGTATGATAGACATTTGTGGCTATTGAGTACTTGAAATATGACTAGTTTACTTTAACCAGTTTAAATTTAAGTAGCCACATGTGGCTACTGGCTATCACAATGGGCTATGCAGATACAGAATCTTCATGGTTAATTAGATCTTGTCATTATGGAGTCACCTTCTAATAAAGCTCTTAAAGTCCATTTTTGCCTGGTATTAATAGTATACCAGCTTTCCTTGGTTACTGTCTTTCTAGTACATCTTTTTTTATCCTTCTACTTTTTGTTTGGATGGATAATTCTTTTAGATCTTTTTTATTTATTTTTTAAATATATTTTTATTGATGTCAGAGAGAAAGAGGGAGAGATAGCAACATCAATGATGGGAGAAAATCATTGATTGGCTGCTTCCTGCATACCCCATACAGCCCTGAAATTGAAAAGATAAGGACTCTCTTTTTAAAGGCAAGGATACTACATTATCAAACCTTTAGAAATTAACAATTCCTAATATCAAATATACATTTAGTGTTCATGTTTATGTAATTGTCAAAGTGTTTAAAATTGGGTGTTTTTGTTTATTAAGGATCTAAACCAAGCCCACGTATTGAACTTGATTTAGTTCTCCATCAATCTGGGTTCCTGTCTCCCTTTTTTTCCCCTACCCCTTTTGCGATTGTTTGTGGGGGAAACTGGCTTGTTTTCCAAGTAGAGTTGTTGACAGGCTGGATTTTGCCGATTGTATCCACGAGGTGTCCTCTAGCATGATCCTCTGTCTCCTTTATTTCCTGAAAATTGATCATTAGCTATAGAAGCTCATTCCGCTTTGAGTTGGATTTCTTGGGCAGGAACACTCCATGGGTGTTGTTGCGGCCTTCTCCAGGAGGCGTGTTATTTCTAGCTGTCTTTATGTGCTGAGGTGGATCAGTGGGTGTCAGTGTTGTTAGTCTGATGTACACATTGCATATGGTTCCCATCAGCTTTCCACTAGGCAGTCATTCGTTACCACTGCGTAGGTTGACCATCTCGCTGGGGGTTATGGACTGGTGACATTCTAATTCTATCATTCCTTCCTCGTGTATTTGCTGGAATGCTTTCTCTATACAGAGAAACTTTTCTCATCAGCGTTTTAGTTACCTTCAAGTACCATTGATACAGGAGAGGCTTGACTCTCTCCTTCTCCCCTTTATTTTGAACCAGTTTTCAAAATAATGTGTTAGTTCTCTGGCATCCTCTAAAGATGCCCAATGAAGTCTCCTAAAAAAAAACCACAACAACCATCATTGTGAATTCATGGATTTAAAAAAATTTCATGTGTTTCAATCCATCGTGGGTGTCATTCTTTTTTTTTTTAATTAATTCTTTATTGTTCAGATTATTACAGTTGTTCCTCTTTTTCCCCCCATAACTCCCCTCCACCTGGTTGCCACCCCACCGTCTGCCCTTACACGCCCCCCCCCCCC